TTCTAGCCAGATGAGTAGAAACCCACTTGACCTTTCTAGCCAGATGAGTGGTAGAGACCCACTTGACCTTTTTAGCCAGATGAGTGGTAGAAACTCGCTTGACCTTTCTAGCCAGATGAGTAGTAGAAACCCACTTGACCTTTCTAGCCAGATGAGTAGTAGAAACCCACTTGACCTTTCTAGCCAGATGAGTAGTAGAAACCCACTTGACCTTTCTTGCCAGATGAGTAGTAACCCACTTGACCTTTCTAGCCAGATGAGTAGAAACCCACTTGACCTTTCTAGCCAGATGAGTAGAAACCCACTTGACCTTTCTTGCCAGATGAGTAGAAACCCACTTGACCTTTCTTGCCAGATGAGTAGAAACCCACTTGACCTTTCTAGCCAGATGAGTAGAAACCCACTTGACCTTTCTTGCCAGATGAGTAGTAACCCACTTGACCTTTCTTGCCAGATGAGTAGAAACCCACTTGACCTTTCTAGCCAGATGAGTAGAAACCCACTTGACCTTTCTAGCCAGATTAGTAGTAGAAACCCACTTGACCTTTCTAGCCAGATGAGTGGTAGAAACCAACTTGACCTTTCTAGCCAGATGAGTAGTAGAAACCCACTTGACCTTTCTAGCCAGATGAGTAGTAGAAACCCACTTGACCTTTCTAGCCAGATGAGTGGTAGAAACCAACTTGACCTTTCTTGCCAGATGAATGGTAGGAACCCATTTGACCTTTCTAGCCAGATGAGTGGTAGAAACTCACTTGACCTTTCTAGCCAGATGAGTAGTAGAAACCCACTTGACCTTTCTAGCCAGATGAGTAGTAGAAACTCACTTGACCTTTCTAGCCAGATGAGTAGTAGAAACTCACTTGACCTTTCTAGCCAGATGAGTAGTAGAAACTCACTTGACCTTTCTAGCCAGATGAGTGGTAGAAACTCACTTGACCTTTCTAGCCAGATGAGTAGAAGAAACTCACTTGACCTTTCTAGCCAGATGAGTGGTAGAAACCCACTTGACCTTTCTAGCCAGATGAGTGGTAGGAACCCACTTGACCTTTCGAGCCAGATGAGTGGTAGAAACTCACTTGACCTTTCTAGCCAGATGAGTGGTAGGAACCCACTTGACCTTTCTAGCCAGATGAGTTGTAGAAACTCACTTGACCTTTCTAGCCAGATGAGTGGTAGAAACTCACTTGACCTTTCTAGCCAGATGAGTTGTAGAAACCCACTTGACCTTTCTAGCCAGATGAGTGGTAGGAACCCACTTGACCTTTCCAGCCAGATGAGTAGTAGAAACTCACTTGACCTTTCCAGCCAGATGAGTAGAAGAAACTCACTTGACCTTTCTAGCCAGATGAGTGGTAGAAACCCACTTGACCTTTCTAGCCAGATGAGTGGTAGGAACCCACTTGACCTTTCTAGCCAGATGAGTAGTAGAAACTCACTTGACCTTTCCAGCCAGATGAGTAGTAGAAACTCACTTGACCTTTCTAGCCAGATGAGTTGTAGAAACTCACTTGACCTTTCCAGCCAGATGAGTAGTAGAAACTCACTTGACCTTTCTAGCCAGATGAGTGGTAGAAACTCACTTGACCTTTCTAGCCAGATGAGTGGTAGGAACCCACTTGACCTTTCTAGCCAGATGAGTAGTAGAAACTCACTTGACCTTTCCAGCCAGATGAGTAGTAGAAACTCACTTGACCTTTCCAGCCAGATGAGTAGTAGAAACTCACTTGACCTTTCTAGCCAGATGAGTGGTAGGAACCAACTTGACCTTTCTAGCCAGATGAGTAGTAGAAACTCACTTGACCTTTCCAGCCAGATGAGTAGTAGAAACTCACTTGACCTTTCTAGCCAGATGAGTAGTAGAAACTCACTTGACCTTTCTAGCCAGATGAGTGGTAGAAACTCACTTGACCTTTCTAGCCAGATGAGTGGTAGAAACCCACTTGACCTTTCCAGCCAGATGAGTGGTAGAAACTCACCTGGCCTTTCTAGCCAGATGAGTAGAAACCCACTTGACCTTTCTAGCCAGATGAGTAGTAGAAACCCACTTGACCTTTCTAGCCAGATGAGTGGTAGAAACTCACTTGACCTTTCTAGTCAGATGAGTAGAAACCCACTTGACCTATCTAGCCAGATGAGTGGTAGAAAGTCACTTAACCTTTCTAGCCAGATGAGTGGTAGAAAGAAGCTTCACCTAATTAATTCCCAGTAAGTATGCTTGTTGTAAGGTGAAGATCATTGGTAAAGCCATCAACTGGTTTGACGCCACAATATTCCAGCTATATTATGGCGGTACGTAATTCTAGCCAGATGAGTAGTAGAAACTCACTTGACCTTTCTAGCCAGATGAGTAGAAGAAACTCACTTGACCTTTCTAGCCAGATGAGTGGTAGAAACCCACTTGACCTTTCTAGCCAGATGAGTGGTAGGAACCCACTTGACCTTTCTAGCCAGATGAGTTGTAGAAACTCACTTGACCTTTCTAGCCAGATGAGTGGTAGAAACTCACTTGACCTTTCTAGCCAGATGAGTGGTAGGAACCCACTTGACCTTTCTAGCCAGATGAGTTGTAGAAACTCACTTGACCTTTCTAGCCAGATGAGTGGTAGAAACTCACTTGACCTTTCTAGCCAGATGAGTAGTAGAAACCCACTTGACCTTTCTAGCCAGATGAGTGGTAGGAACCCACTTGACCTTTCCAGCCAGATGAGTAGTAGAAACTCACTTGACCTTTCCAGCCAGATGAGTAGTAGAAACTCACTTGACCTTTCCAGCCAGATGAGTAGTAGAAACTCACTTGACCTTTCTAGCCAGATGAGTTGTAGAAACCCACTTGACCTTTCTAGCCAGATGAGTTGTAGAAACCCACTTGACCTTTCGAGCCAGATGAGTAGTAGAAACCCACTTGACCTTTCCAGCCAGATGAGTAGTAGAAACTCACTTGACCTTTCCAGCCAGATGAGTAGTAGAAACTCACTTGACCTTTCTAGCCAGATGAGTTGTAGAAACCCACTTGACCTTTCTAGCCAGATGAGTTGTAGAAACCCACTTGACCTTTCTAGCCAGATGAGTAGTAGAAACCCACTTGACCTTTCCAGCCAGATGAGTAGTAGAAACTCACTTGACCTTTCCAGCCAGATGAGTAGTAGAAACTCACTTGACCTTTCTAGCCAGATGAGTAGTAGAAACTCACTTGACCTTTCCAGCCAGATGAGTAGTAGAAACTCACTTGACCTTTCTAGCCAGATGAGTAGTAGAAACTCACTTGACCTTTCTAGCCAGATGAGTAGTAGAAACTCACTTGACCTTTCTAGCCAGATTAGTGGTAGAAACCCACTTGACCTTTCTAGCCAGATGAGTGGTAGAAACTCACTTGACCTTTCTAGTCAGATGAGTAGAAACCCACTTGACCTATCTAGCCAGATGAGTGGTAGAAAGTCACTTAACCTTTCTAGCCAGATGAGTGGTAGAAAGAAGCTTCACCTAATTAATTCCCAGTAAGTATGCTTGTTGTAAGGTGAAGATCATTGGTAAAGCCATCAACTGGTTTCACTAACACATTGCCGCCATTACATACCTGGAAATATATATTGTGAAATCACACACACACACACACACACACACACAATCTCCTGCAGCCTGGTCATCATGATGCAAATAATGACTTGCTTCAGATAAACAAGATTCGCCTAATTCAGGACTAAATGTTTTAAACTTTAATTGACAAGTGCTTCACATCGACATTTATTACCTTGCATATTTATGACCACATTGATAAAGAAACAGTATGAAATCTCTCAGTACCTTTAACAATAATTGAGTAGCACACTCCTAGAGCATCAGTGGATCACCCCGCTCACCAACCAATATCGTCACTGCATAGATAACATGAATGCTCATTCAACTGGTTCTTGATTTTGACATTAATGATGGTAACATTAAAAAATATATGATAACGATAAAAGCTGCGTTAGAAATAAATGGGGGTCCTGAGGTGCTTGGGGTTAGCTGCTGCGGTTTTGAATCCAGGGACCCCTAAATCTTTCGACTTATAAAATCGTTAGTTATGACAAGGATCCCTAGACTTTCATAGTATTCATGGAATACTTATAGCAAATAAACACAGGGACTACAGCATTATGGAACACATGATAGGGGACATAAACCTTGCAGAATTATGCTATTGAACAGATCCTTAATCATGACAATAAAGAAATGGTAAAACATTTGAATCTTGCCACAAAATGGCAGTACAAGTATACGTAAAGTGTAAAAACCTGGACTTATACAACACATTGAATTTGATTTCTAAAACAAGAGCGTACTTAGTACTTTTACATTGGATTGCTCACAACACGCTGCACATGAATATATATATATATATATATATATATATATATATATATATATACGTATAATATATCAAACTTATGACCATGGAAACCAGTTGGGCACTGAGTCACACCCAGAGCAAGCAAACCAGTGGTTGACATTATGACCACCGACACATTTAGGGTCAAATTATAGACAGATTCAGCTGAAGCCATGATTTTTAAAGGGGACCTACATCAATAGACCATCCACACTAGTTTTCCATTGTGGCCATCCAATCAACAACATCCACTCACTGATACATGAGCAGCTAAATAGGAATGAACTTGAAACAAACATTCTGAGACTAATACTGTGAACTATTGCACAAGGTGAAGTATAAAATGATAGTGTGGTTCTAATCGCTCTGATCATCGTTTGTCTAGTCAACCAACAGGGAGACATTGCTGACTTTCCTCTTAAAACTCATCATCCGGAGACAATGGTACAGAAGCTCACCTTCATGACATCTGCACACAAAGAAGGCATCAGGCTAAAATGTTGCCTGCATCATACAAGAATTTATCTTGGATTCTAAACTAAGTGCCCCTGGCAGGCACATTAGAGGGAAAATCATTACTTTTGTTGAAAATTGAGATTTTTTAAAAGTTCTTTTTTTCTTATACATGTATTCAGAGATATTTTAACACTGTAATTTGAGATTGTATTTAATTCCATAATATAAAACAAAGGGTTAAAACATATTCCTATTGAATGTAGGTTACCACTACAAAAGCCAAAAAATTAGTTATTAGTAATGAATATATTTACATGAATTGGGAAATGTTTAATTTGGATTTGAGAATTTTTCATGACATTTGCTGCGGACTTTGGGCCGAATATGAGCCTCTGAGCAGGCCTAGATCAAGTCTTAAATTCATAAATGAGATATGGATGAACTTTGACCTCAGAAAATAATCAGCTGAAAGTTGACGAAATGGGGTATCCAACACACAAGATAAAGTTTGTACAGAAAAAGTTTCATTACTTTGATAACCATATTTACGGAAAAGAGTGAGATAATCATAATGAGATAAACACAGTTATGGTATAGAGTGAGATAACCAGCTGTGAGATAATCATAGTCATGGCATAGAGTGAGATAACCATAGTTATGGTATTGTGTGAGATAATCATAGTTACAGTTTAGAATGAAGAAAACCTATTAAAATTCTTATGAAACTTTAAAGTGTTCATATGACTGAACTCTTAGTGTAAAGTAAGACACTAAATCTTTAACATGTGCATGTCTTTGACAGACTTTCCTAAAGAGGTTTACCGATATAAAACATCAAAACTTGCAACTTACTTCAGCCCCAGGATTACATAAATGAAAAATGAAACTTTTTCCTGCTCTGTACTGCTTCAAGTATGCTACAGAAATTTAAGTCTACCTAGAGGGATAAACTATGCCTACACTGGTAAGTTATTCCTTCACCAGTTATTTCATACCTACACAGGACATAAATAGAATGATCTACACAGGAAATACAAGAAATCCTGCGCTCACCATTGGTAACCAGCAATATCTCAACTTCCCCAAACAGTTTTGCATCTTATTGATATAAGCATGTTTGATATTGAAGTGGTCACAAAGGGAATATCAGGTGACCATTATTTTGAGATAAACACAGTCATGTAAAAAAAAATAATTAAAGATGCTTTGATGTAACAAACTCACAAGTTGATTTTTTTTTATGATATACATGTACCGGTATGTGTTTGACTTGATACAAATTGACAGTATTCTATAGTAGATCCTAGGAAATTCTGGGACAGGTTCTTCACAAAACAACATTTCCTTTCCCTAAATCTTCCTGGTCTATCTTCCTGAATAATGTATTTGATAAAAAATAATTCATTCAAAAATCATCAGCACGCATTAAAAAATATCACAGGAAAAACATGAAAGACAAAGCTGTTGAATGGCGTTGGCTAAATCAGGTGCTTGCTATCTGCTGCTTTCGCTGGTTCAAACAGGCAGTTGTTCCACTGTTTGCTGCCGTCGGCCAGCATGCTGATCATGGAGGCATGGAAGGTTGGAGAATCGTCGTCGTCAACCTGGAGCAATATTTCATAAAGTTGGTGATAAAGGGTGACAGGGTGATAAATATTTAGATATTCAACTCTCAATTTGGCACCCATTTAGTCGATATTGAGTTCAGATTTTACAAACCCTTGGTAAAATGTCTTTTTGTCTACAATCGGTTTGACCTATCTTTACTTATGATTAAGGAAAGGTGAGCTGAAAGGGGTTTTATGTCGCTTTCAAGATTATAGCAATTATATTGTGACATGCATGCATGCATGTGTTTATATTGTTAGTCCGATGAAATACCATGCCTCAGTTTATCGTGAATACCCCACAGTATACTGACTCCAAGTCGACCAGTCTTTGTTTTATCACCATAATGCCCAGTGCCAGGCAGGGTAACAACAAGTACAATCTTTTAACGTCTCTTTTTATGACCGACAGACTTGGCCAGGGATTGAACCACCAACCCTACACTTTCCTTGACACTCTATCCACTAGACAACAGAGCCAGTCTACGTAAGATTAGGTGAGTGAGTGAGTGACTGAGATGTAGAGCTGATCTGAACACCAGTGTAGTCATATCATTCTGTGTCAGCTTAGACAATTACCACTTGTTAAACAAACAAGCACGGTTTAGCAGCTGATCATACCTACCATTATAGGATCCTGCCACGCTAAGGGTTGCAATTCTGCACAAGAAGTTACGGGGCTTTAGATGTTTGTCCCTCCCAGGCCCTTATATGAGTGGAACATTATGCTGAAGGCATTACATTGACTTTTCCAGTTATGAATAGGGCTCCTTTTGAAATTGCTGAAATCTCCTGAAATATTGCTTTGGCTACTGGGTGGCTCCTCCTACCAAAATGTACTTTTGACAAATGATAGATGTAGCGAACGGAAAAATGAAATTTTGCATCAGTATCATTATATATCATAAAAGGTGCACATGGTGAAAAGCTTATTGACAAACATACTAAAAAGAAGTTAGATTCAGGAACTGACCATGAGAGTAGAGACTCCTTCCATTGTTGCTGACAGAAGATATTCTGCTTGGATGGACATCAGTCTCAGCTCAATAAGGGGAGAACACTCTCGTACCTGCATGGTGTATGTTAGAGTTCTCTCCCCTTCATGCCACACCCACTGCACAACTTCATACCAAGAAATGACTAGCTCTTCACTATTGTCTGCAACAGGCATGCAGATGGTCAGTCATGGTAAACATTTAAAGCTAGAACATCCAACAACATTGGTAATGATGCCTTGTTTTTTTGTATGTTGTTTAACGCTGCACCCAGCAATATCCCAGCTACATGACAGCGGTCTGTAAATAATTGAGTCTCGACCAGACAAATCAGTGATTGACATCATAAGCATCGATCCACGCAATTGGGATACAATGACATGCATCAACCAAGTCAGAGAGCCTGACTATCTGATCCTGTTAGTTGCCTCTTACGACAAGCATAGTCATCTCCTACAGCAAGCATGGGTTGCTGAACATGAAATAATTCTGACAGTTGGGAACTAAAACGATAATGTATGAGCTCTATACAACATCACTACCATCGTCAATACTTCAGGGATTTGTATACACTACGTTCCTCATTCACCACTGAATACAGAGACACGTGGCAGTGTGGTTTCAAGCAATGAATCAAGCAATGGCCTGGTTCCAGCAAAAGGAGAGTGAGTGAGTATGGTTTTAAACTGATGTTAGCAATATTCCAGCAATATCACAGTGGGGGACACCAGAAATGGGCTTCACACATTGTACCCATGTCAGGAATCGAACCCGGGTCTTTGGCGTGACAAGCGAACGCTTTAACCACTAGGCTACCCGACCGCCCCCACCAGCGATTGGGAAAACAGAGAGTGCTCAGACCAATGAGTGATCAGTTCACATCAGACAGACAGATTTGTTTCTGGCAACGTGTGACAACGTGCTGCAACCTTGTGGGCCTCTGCTGTCTTTAATGTCAGGCAAATGGTTGGGTTTGCTCAAAGTCCATGTAAAGAGTAGGGCTCATTATACTCTCATAAGCTTACTAAATAAGAAGGACTGCATAGTATTACCGGTATACTCGTGATCCTCGATATGAATAAGTGGCAGTGAATCAGTATAAGATATAAATTTGTTGACAAATACCACTTAATCGCTTTTCAAACGATACATATTGCATTAATATTATTTGTGTTCCGATATATTTGGTAAGAGAATATAACAAGTGTCATTTCTTATTTGTAGTATTTAACCTAAAATCTAGACAGAAATTTATTCACAAATGATGTTTCCCTTTGAATTGATTGACAAAACATCAGAAATGTGGAAGTGATTTCTCTCTCACTTTGTTATCTCCCCTGTATCCATGACTACAAAATGGCAGCAACTGACCAACTGAGTCATTAATATTTCCTTTAGTATGTAGAAAATAGATGGGCAAGTACAATCAGTGTCAAACACTTCAGCTCCCAACATATCACAATACAGATACCTGTATCACAATTAGTAGTGGGAAGATACATTGATGCATCGATGGATTGCATTTTCATGTGATAATGAGTAACGGTAGTGAAAACATATAGATTTTCATCCATAGCACCATGCTTGACACTGTCAACAGTAAATCGTTAGTGTGCCAGGTATTTGGCCATCCTATCTAGGAAAAAGATAGCTTATGTACCACAGATAACAGCACATGCAAGTATCGTGAGCAAGGCATCGTGATACATATCGGATCGCATATTTGGTGTATCGTCCCAGCCCTAATCACAAAATATTGAAATACCATTTTTTCACAATACACAGCCCTGTAGGTTAGACAGGCATGACCACTACACCACAGAAGGGCCAGGTGTATTAACAGGTGATGGCGTAATGTAGTGTATACAAACCTGTGAAGTACTGACGGTGCATCACAACATTAGCAAAGAAAATGGTAAGCAAACTACCTGATACAACTTTCAAACCATGCTTGGAAACAAAAACAGACAACAAACTGTTTCTCGGCCACTGGAAAGATACAACATACAATGAGGAACAAGGGAGGGTCAGACTGTGAGTACTTCTACTCATGGCTGCCAACAATAGAAGCAGATGAAAATATCTGATCTAACTATTCAGTGATAAGGGACTGATCATTTAGGGGGCCTGGGATTTTTGTACAGATGGAATATTTTCTCTCCTTCAAATAATACAATTTTCTTCTTGACAGGAGAAATCAAACTAAATCAAACTAATTCAAATTTTCACATTTTTTCAGGACATCCAACAAGCCTGGGAACAATTATTGTGTGTATTTATACCTCAGCCAAAATTATGTTTTTCAGCAGTTTCTGGCACAAATTATTTTATTATTTTAAATCTCAGAAGCCAAACAAAGAAAATCAAATGGTAAGTCCCTTAAACATTGTTAAAAGGCCAGACAAATATATTTTCTTGTTTTACCATGTTTACAGGTGAGGCTAAGCTTATTTATATTTGTGTTAGCATTGTTAATTTAAGATATTTTGGGGTATAAACCTGAAATCAACTTTTATAAATTTTTTTGAATAATTTACCTCTTGACCAAGATAACCTGTAAACCAAGACAACAAATTGGTCTGGCCTCTGCTACTTCTGTCATATAAAGCATTCGAACCCAGAATCATAAGTTTCTGTCATGCCTAAATACAGCAGGACTGGGCCCCCTTCATTCCAGCTGTTCATTCAAGATCAGTATCAGTCTGGAGCTCTGTTTTCACTTGTCTCATAGAGTCTGGATTCAGAAATAGCATCTTCCCGAGGCAAGGGAGTTAACTGACTATAAAAGCCCAGTTTCCACCCTTGCCGAACTAGCATGGAATTTCTGGGCTTGATCGTAGCGCAGCCAGTGGATATTACGAGTTATGTCCCTCCTATTGACCAATCAGATTCCACCTCTCATATCACTTGCATTTGCTTCAAACAAACTGCACCAAGACGATCTGATCAATGATTAAGATCTATATTGTAATGAAACGGATCTAACCTCACAAAGTGCATCAAATCATATGATCACCTTCATCAAAAACATGAAAAGATTTGGTAAATATGTGTCGACACCCAGTTGACGGTACACATCCTTTGTAAAACCTGCAGTCGACTGAAATCTGCACGACGAAATCCATGTTGTTTATGAAACAGATTTCTATTTTGTTACGAGATTTTGATTGGACCGTGCATGGACTTGTTAGTCCAGCCAAAACATAACTCCATACTTCCAGCCTTGATGGGTTGAAATTGGACTTTTAGTCAGTTTACTTCTTGCCTCAGGAAGATGCAGAAATAGCTGTCATCCCTGTTCCACCATACACAAGGCATACTCACAGCAGTGGTACAAGCAGGTACTTGTAGTGCGTGGCACAGTTGGCAGTTGCGGACACACACACTGAAGTAGTTGGGCAGTTTCTGACACTGTGTGACATACTGTTCCTCCATCACAAAGGTGGGTTCAAGGCATTCTGGGTAATCAGGAAAATCTATTAAGTTAAATTGTCTGACAAATTGTTTGTTGTTTAACACTGCATTCAGCAATATAACAGCAATATGACAGTTGTCTGTAAATAATTGAGTCTTGACCAGATAAACCAGTGATTGATATTATGATTTGACGTAAATATGAGTAACGTGATACATTTCGTATCCTGACCTATGTATCGTATCGTGACCTTGCTGTATCGTTTCACCCCTACTTTTCAGTGGTATTCACGCCATTCACTGCCAGGGAAACCAAAACTGGGCTTCAAACATTGTACCATTTGGGGAACAAACATTGTACCATGTGGGGAATCAAACATTGTACCATGTGGGGAATCAAACCCAGGCCTTTGACATGATGACACAAAGTTGTCACCCTCAGACTACTCCACTGCCCCACATCACAGTTGAAAAGAAATTGGTGTTAGAACTGAATGCTAAAATGGAAGCAGAACTATCACACCTTTCCTTCTCTTACCACAAACACATAAATCCCGAAGAAAAACCTTTTATCATGTTTATAGCTTTTAATTTTTCTTACAACGAATAATGTTCTGCGTTAAAATGAGACCAGCTGGATGCCCCCATACAAAGGTTTATCTAGGTTTTCCAACAGTGCTCAAGGCATGCGAATTGATGAAAAACAATATTTTGCCCAAAATATGTTTTGGTTGTAATAATTTAACAAGTCTTTCTTTCTTTCTTTGTCCAGCTATCAGTGAAATATAAATCATCTTCAATGTGCAATTGATAAAGTGGAATAATTTCTTTAATTACCGTATTTTCTTGAGTATAGTGCGCACCCATGTATAATGCGCACCCCCCTCTAGCGGGTTCAATATTTTGGAAAAAAAGAAATTTGAATATTATGCGCAGAAATTTTTTACACCGTACCCTTTCAGCGAAGTCCGGCAAACGAACGGGTGCTGAGAAACTTCGTCAGTACAAATTCGAAATTTGAGATAAAAAATCACCAGACATGTTTATTTACCATTTAAATAGTATTTATTGTTCTGCTAGGCATTGTTTTAAATTTAGGGATTAAGATTACCTTGCGTATTTTCTCGTAAACTAAGCTGGAAACAGCAATCAGCTGTACACACGTTTTCTTGGAATCGACCGGTGATTCGGTCAAGACACACCCAATGATATAACTTTATAAGATTTTCTAATGCAAGGATCGGCAACAATTGTATCTGAAACTATTTTATTTATCAGGAATAATATATTCCATTATTTTCTTAATTATATGCAACCTTTAATAAACATATTTAAAATAATAATAACCCTAAGCGAAGCAGCTGATCGCTATTCCCGGGTATTATTTTTTACATGGAACATGTCTGACCAGTCACCGTCAAGGCTCACACGCACGTGATCACGTGATCGCGAGAATTTCATGTTGACATAGAATCGTCAAACAAAAACAAATATGACTTTTAACGAGTCAAAGTATGTCATTTATGATATATGTATCCATTCTCTGTCAACTAAAGTTTGTTTCAAGGCGTCAATAGCGGTATTCTGACCATGGTTGCTGTTAATAACGGTGAGTTGTGCGGTCTTCCGATCGCTTCACACACGATTTTGCCGAAATTAATAAAAACAATATTATAAGGAATTTTGAATAAAATCAATGAAATAAGTTACAAACATAAGTCCAGATATACAAAGAACACTTTTTATAGCCAGACAGTGTAATTACATGATTATTTTGCGTACTTCAGTATGGATTTGTTGACATGGTATTTCCGGTGTTACGCGCTCACGGTAGTGTCTTTCCATGGGGGAAAAAAACATCAAACTCATAATTTGTGTATGATGCGCACCCCCTTCTACACAGCTGTGTTTTTTCGAAAAAAAGTGTGCACTATACTCAAGAAAATACGGTAAAAAATATTTTCAAATACCATGTAATGGTAAAAACAGTTTGTTTGAGTAACTTGTAAATACAGAAAAGACAAAAACTTATCTGGACCTGGTCCAAGTGGCAGGTAAGCATGAGACATGAAGCATGGATGTCCCTGCTCTGGAAACTTGATTCAATGATTGACGATAAAATCAAAACCGATTTCCAATACTACTGTGGGCCCTAACAGGCTTATGTGGCTGAACTGGCAGTAACACCAGTTGTTTCAAAAACAATAATTGTATAATTTTACCCTCTTCGAACCTTGTCGAGATAATAACCCTACCTTCAAGTTTCAGTTTCTCCGCTTCTGTTGGTTGTAATTTACCTGTACAGAAAGAGAAGGAACATGTTGATGTCAACCAAAAAGTCTGCCATGTCATACAAATGTTGAGAGCTCTTAGTTTCAATTTGCTACACAGCATGCAAGGACAATATCATACTGTGACTTCTTTAAGAGGCATTTAGAAGTTTGAGTACTAAGTAAGGATAAGATATATGGATGAACAAATTCTTTGTTACAATTAGGAGCAACGTTTCGGTGTAGCTTCTAACACCGTCATCACTTGCTTGATAGCGGTGTTAGAACCTACACTGAAACGTTGCTTCTAATTGTAATAAAGAAGTCTTATACTTACTTAATATGATAGTGGTTTGATGTTGATTACAGAAATATTACAGCAATATCATGAAGTAGAGTTTTGTTCCAACCACAAAGCTACCACACCTCCCATGTTTGTGCACAGAAGAAAAGTAGAAGAGAGGCAGGAAAGTGATCTTCAGCCTAAATTTACATAAAAATGAGCCGACTAGTTCTATAGTTTTGAATGGATTTGGTTGATCACAGCCAAATACCACAATGAAGAAAATGCTATGCATAAGACATGGGGAACTATATCTGCTTAGTGTCCCAAGTGGCAGGTAAGCATGACACACATGGACCTATCTGGACCTGGCGTCCCAAGTGGCAGGTAAGCATGACACACATGGACCTATCTGGACATGGCGTCCCAAGTGCCAGGTAAGCATGACACACATGGACCTATCTGGACCTGGTGTCCCAAGTGGCAGGTAAGCATGACACACATGGACCTTTCTGGACCTGGCTTCCCAAGTGGCAGGTAAGCATGACACACATGGACCAATCTGGACATGGCATCCCAAGTGGCAGGTAAGCATGATACACATGGACCTATCTGGACCTGGCGTCCCAAGTGGCAGGTAAGCATGACACACATGGACCTATCTGGACCTGGCGTCCCAAGTGGCAGGTAAGCATGACACACATGGACCTATCTGGACATGGCGTCCCAAGTGGCAGGTAAGCATGACACACATGGACCTATCTGGACCTGGCGTCCCAAGTGGCAGGTAAGCATGACACACATGGACCTATCTGGACCTAGTGTCCCAAGTGGCAGGTAAGCATGACACACATGGACCTATCTGGACCTGGCATCCCAAGTGGCAGGTAAGCATGACACACATGGACCTATCTGGACATGGCGTCCCAAGTGGCAGGTAAGCATGACACACATTGACCTATCTGGACCTGGCGTCCCAAGTGGCAGGTAAGCATGACACACATGGACCTTTCTGGACCTGGCGTCCCAAGTGGCAGGTAAGCATGACACACATGGACCTTTCTGGACCTGGCGTCCCAAGTGGCAGGTAAGCATGACACAAATGGACCTATCTGGACATGGCGTCCCAAGTGCCAGGTAAGCATGACACACAAGGACCTATCTGGACCTGGCGTCCCAAGTGCCAGGTAAGCATGACACACATGGACCTATCTGGACATGGCGTCCCAAGTGGCAGGTAAGCATGACACACATGGACCTATCTGGACCTCACATGGAGCAAGGAATTCTCTGTTATGGAGAAGCACTCACCGACACTCAGGTGGTGCTGCGCCTGTAGACTGAGAAGGTGGACAGCTTGACTGTCAGTCTTCAGCAATCTTCTCTCCTCTGCGGGGTTGAAGCACCATTTCTGCAAACTCAGATCTGGAAGAAATCATTATGTATATTGAAAAGATGGACACAAGACCAAATCATATATCATATTATCAAGGCAAAACATAACATCAGCCAAACAAATGTTCACATCAAACATATTTTGACCTTTCAAGGTTCAGTAAAGAGATAAATATATTTTATTTGCTTAATCAGGGCATGTTATAGAGGGGGCATACTTTTTAGTGCTTCTACTGAGGAGTTGACAGCAGGGTTCAAAGGTAAGTACAGTAGACAGATCAGTAAAAGTCAGGAAACTTGTGACATTTTATTGTCGACTACCACTTTTGCAATGTACTTTGAGGGAGATTGCAACTGTGTGGCAAATCATTTTGCAGACTTGTGATATATAAGTTAATTTTTAACCCAGCACCAGATTACAACAAACTCAAAGGGACCACTCATTTTAGTTTGTTATATCCATAGTTTGTTATAAGCATTTCGACTGCCTGACAACTTGGATCAAGTCATGTGACCACATCATGTTACTTGATAAATAACCAAAGCATGCACGGTACATGTTACCACTTTGAACAGCTGTGCATTGCCGCAGATGTTTTGATGGGCAGATTGGTGACACGTGAGCAGCTCAGGTCAGGGATTAATAGTTTGTTATGCACTTAAACATTGCCGTTGATCAGACAAGAGTACACCCGGGACCACAAAGAGAGTTCGCTATATCTGTTATTTCCTAATAAGCGTGTTTGTTATATCCATCAACTTTATATGAGAAAATATACAGCAAATGGCCAGGACCAGACAAACAGTTTGTTATATCCATCAATTTTTTATATAAGTGTTTGTTATAAACGTAGTTTACTGTACATGTTTATCTGTTGATAGAACTTCCTAATTCAGTTTGAAATCTATCAAGAAAATCCTACACAATGAATAATTTCCAATTCTTTCTCACCTTTCACAGGCACCAGAAGCATCTCAGAAGCTTTGTATCTTTTCACAGGTTTGTCTAAACCTTGACATAAGCAAAAGTATTTCCAGCTACTCTTCTTCAAACCTGGAATTATCCACAATTCTTTTTGTTAACACAGTTAATTACAGAAGAATAGCAAGCAAATGTGTGTAGGAAAAACAAGATCAAGTAGCAGAGCAGTTATTTTAACACAGGAAAATTTTGTAACTGTAAGCTCAGTTTTGCATTATCACATATTATTTCTTTTAAAATAAAATTAATGCGAAGGCTAAAAAAAATAATAGTCTTGGTTCTCAGGCACCGTCTGCATCATCATAAAGTTCGCCTCATGTTTCATTTTTATTTCCTTTCTTAAAAAAAACTAAAAAATCCTTAAATATTCCAAGTCCAGCGATAGGCAAATACAGTATTCCAGTATTTTACTCACCAAGGAATGCATTTATGTAGGGAGGCCCTTTCCAAGGTTGATTGTACACAATTAATTATCAGTTACATACTAGTTTGAACAAACAAAAAATAAAAAAAGACACATCCTGCCCGCATTGCCTGAGAACCAATTCCTTTAACATGTTTAATTTGTTAAGCCTAAGTAGCATTAGTAATCATGATTATATCTTACAGGATAAACTACCTTTATATAAAGAATAGGAGTGACATGATTCACTGATGTATCAAGAACTTCCACCTGATGATATGCCCTGTGAAGTTCCGGGTCAGCAACCCATGCTTGCCTTACGAGACGACTAACGTGACCACCTGATCCTGTTAGTCCCCTCTTACAGATGTATATATGTATGTCTGTGGTTGAATTGTACTTCACTTTGAACATGTTGAACAAGACTTGTTGAAAAAATAGATTTTTTACATGTTGAACAAGACTTGTTGAAAAAATAGGTTTTTTTACATGTTGAACAAGACTTGTTGAAAAAATAGTGGTTTTTTTACACGTTTAACACTTAGAATTTTATTATTGCACAGAATGCAACAATAAAATACCTCTGAATTTTAGTAAATAAAGGCTTAAAAAATCTTTGACATAATAAAGCTTTTTAGCCACAAGCATTTAGTTGAAGATTCTCAATAAATTCCTGATAGGGAAACATTACATAACTTTATCTACTTTATCAAGGCTACATAAGTATCCACCAAAGAAATACTATCACCATGATCACCTGATTATTGTTTAAAAGTTCATAATGCATAACCAATAACAGCTGACAATTATAGTTGCGTCTTAGACTCCAACTGAAGAGCCGTTCTAAACTTGGGAAAAGCAGCCAATGAATACAGCAATACACATACCTAAGTGTTCACAGACTTTAGACTGAAGTGTGTGGACAGATACCTCATCCTCCTGGGAAGGGACTGACAGCTGGAAGATAACGGTGTTTGAAAATAACATGACGAATAAAGGAAAAGAATATCACAGATCATAAGTATAATAGTAACAAGAAATCCTTTCAGCATGTTCTGCGTTTGTGTCAATGTTATTTAGGTTAGTGAGTGTTGTCTTACTCACGGGTTCATCTAGACCTGCTCAGAGGCTGATATTCAGCCCCATGTTTGTAGCAAATGTCAGTAAAAACTCATGTTATTAAAGTCATAACTAATAACTTGGCTGTGCAGGGGTAACATGTAGTTCACTGACAGAAGGACCAATAAAGAGGGAGAGGCGTTAATGTTAAGTTTTCTATTGTTGCAATGAACATGACGAATGAAATGTTGAAATATGAACTATCAACATGAAGAATAAAATATTGCTATTTCGAACAAAATAATAAAATAAATCCCAATTTGCCTGCCAAAGGCATTTAGTTTGGAATCTAGAGCAATACCTGCCCATCAGTAGCAATATTCTGGGACATCAGAGTAACATCCTGATTGAACTTATCTTCTACAATACACCATTTATTTAAGAAAAAATTAAGGTTCAACAAAGTCCACACCCAAGTGTGATGTCAGCTCATATTAGCTTATGCTACAAGGCAGTATCTGTACTATCCACAGGATAGCAAGGAATGTGTCATGGCCATCACATTCAAAATCTGCTCCTCCAGAAGCTCTCATGAAACCTCCAACAACATCATCACTTCTCTCTTATTCACATAACACTTAGTATTAAGGTGAGGTGAAATTGGGTTTAACGCTGCGTTCAAGATTACACTTGATGCGTGCGTGTGCGCGAGGAAGTCACTTAGTAGTGAAAGGTCACCTGTAATTTACTGCTATCGAGTGCTAACTATACTTTGGATTTTGCAAAGAATGCATGCAGATTCATACAGGATGCGTTGGGAGATACTTGAGATTTTGACACCTTAAACCCTAAACAATGCATGGAAATAGTTGGATAAAGCAGTACATGAAATGAGAGCTAAGTGTAGCTGAAGCACCATGTGACCTCTTTTGGCTTTGCGCCCCTGTGAGGGGCGGGGCCCGAGGCTCTAGGCCATAGTGACCACGGCTATGCTATAATAAGGGTAGATGACTCACATCACTCAGGTAATGGGTGTTTCAGTCTTCAGTCAGAGACTGTTTACAGATCTGATATATCTGTACATGGCCTGTGCATATTGTGATATGGATGAAATCAGCTGTCACCTAAAATCACTACAGCTATTACAAGTTTATGAGATACTTCGTTGCATTATGACATAATTCCTCTGTTGTCATGACAGCATGTGGGATGATGAAGCATGTTGTCTAATTAAACCAAAGGTGCTGTCATTATATCATAGTCATCACAACGAGCTTCTGGATAGGTGGCAACAGCCTTACAGTAAACACTGGTAAAGAGGAAACCAGTTTTTAACTAGACTTGAAAAAAATAAAAAATGACATGACGGATATCGTATGCTTACCTTTACTAAGTTTGCGTTTGGATCAAATGTTTGAATTTGTACAGTTACAAAGCTTTGCAACTCCATGTTGTCGGTTGTCAATTGCCAATGATATTATTACAAAAGTTGGCACACTGTCACTACAGTAAAGCTGACATGCACGTTCCCATATGTACTATTTTCAAACCAACTTTTAACATACGGTCATAGATTTCTTGCACCCTACTTACCGCAATGTTAGGTTCAGCACCATAATTATACAGAATGATAGGTTCAAAACTATATTAAATTACCAAAGATCATAATGAATATAATGCATATCTCATTCAGTTTACTTGTTAATAATATATTTGAATAAAGGATAGTTTTTGTATAACTATTATTCATGGGACAGACATTTCCGCTTCCGGTCGGTGCCTGATCCTGATCATTCGTGAAGATGTTGGGCGATTGTGTTCTTATTGTGTTCATTTCAATATGTACAGCTTTACTTGGAGAAGGTAAATAACATTTTCACTAAATACCAGTGATACCTAAACACTGTATAAACAGTTCAGTTCGCATGAAACAGATACATCGAATGATATCGTACATCAGAATAAGGTGGTCCAGTTTTCGATCAGCATGGTCGATGAAGAGGGATTACCACAATGTTCATTCATTTGAAAGAGAAGAAGCCTAATTCACATGGACAAGAATGCATTTTATCTAGCGCAGCAATATAGTGCCGAGAAACGCCATCCTCGACAAGCTTCACTTATCTTTATGTTTAGTTAAGTTATCCATTTTTCGATCAAGCAAACATTTATGATAATTAGGCAATGGTTGGACACCCCATTCTGTTCAAATACCCCGTTATCATGATTATGATCCTAAGGGTTTATCTATGTTCTTATCAGATGGTTATGTTGGCTATTTATCCTAGCCTAGCTTGAAGCTGGCAAAACGAGTTTAGTCCTCTGCAACTCCTGCAACACAAATTCAATTCCGATACAGGGTGCAGATTAGGGAACAATCACACTATGTGATCAACAGATGGCCCAGTCTCCTAAGGCACCTCAATTTCGAGTTGCATCCCATGGGCATGCCAGAAACCTATCACAGTCGGTTCGAATCCTGGTTTGTCAGCACGATACCTGTTATCGTGGGTTCACCGAAGTGGTAAACGTCTAAGACCTTCCTCCGACAGTGACTGGAATACTGTTTAAAGCAGTGTTAATCCCAACTCGCTCAATTTCTAGTTTATTTACAGTAGAGTAAAGTAAATTATTGGTTATGTGTTCTAGAGAAAATAACATTCCCTTATATACCAAATTTTAACTTTCTAGTAATCCTTTCTGTCATTAACAGACTAAGGATATTCCACACTAAACATTGTTTTGTTTTGCAGGTTTAACATGGTTACTAGTTTACAGGACTGAGAAATACAAGAAATTGAAAGCCGAAGTAGAAAAGCAAAGCAAAAAGTGTATGTATAAACATCCTAAATTAAAGTATTCTAAATATCAAATTTTTTGTACATGTATGTTGCAATATTAATAGGAACTGCATGATAATATGATACATGCATTATGGCATAAGGTGAATTGCTATCATGTTGTATTGATGCATGATCTGGTATATGGAGTAAATTGGTCAGTAATATACTTGTAAATATTAGTTAAAAACTTGGGTAATAATTAACATGTAACCACGGTAACACAAGTATTTTCCAATTTCCAGTGGAAAAGCAGCGAGAGGCCGGCGGAGAAGCAGCTGATCGTGGTCAGAAGAAGAAATTAGGTATGATACACTGACATGTTGACATTAGTATTTGAAGTCGTGGATATGAAGCGTGAGTGGGAAGGTGTTCACACTTACATTGCTAATTTACATGATTTATGCTTGAAATGTGAAATAGATTTAGAAAAGGGTGCATATTATTACTTCAGTTTACTCTGAGATTAATATGAATATGTTAGAGAGAACTGTACGTGACTCTGTTGATGACTGGACTGTTCAAGGCCCTGTTTGTGAATGGACTGTCAAAGGCCCTGTTTATGACTAGACTGTAATAGGCACTGTTTGAGAAAACTGTACAAGGCCCTGTTTATGTATGGACAGTACAGGGCCCTGTTTATGAGCAGACTGTAATAGGCCCTGATTATGAATAAACTTCACAAAGCCATGTTTGTGATTGGACTTTACAAGGCTCTGTTTATGAACAGATTGTACAAGGCTCTGTTTATGAATGAACTGTCAAAGGCCATGTTCATAAATGGACTGTACAGGGCCCTGTTTATGAGCAGACTCGAATAGCACCCGTTGGGGAATGAGCTTTGCAAGGCCCTGTTCATGATTGGACTTTGCAAGGCCCTTTTTATGAATTGACTTTGCAAGGCACTGTTTATCATGTTTATGAGCGGACTGTAATAGGACCGTTTGGGAATAAACTTTGCAAGGCCCTGTTTATGAGTGGACAAGGCCCTGTTTTGAATGAACTGTCAAAGGTGTTTGTAATAGGCCCCGTTTACAAGGTCCTGTTCATGTTTGGACTTTACAAAAACCAAGTTTATGATATTTTTGCGAGGTCCTGTTAATGATTAAACTTTACAAGACCCTGTTTATAAATGGTTTTGCAAGGCCCTGTTTATGAATGGATGTTACATGGCCATTTATAAGCAGTGTGTAATAGGCACTGCTTATGACAGGACTGCACAAGGCACTGTTTATTGTTAGATTTTGTAAGGCTTTGTTTATTGTTTCCACAATCTGCAATGATTTCCTGTTTCCAGAACGCCAGGAAGAGAAGTTGAAAAACAACAGCCGGGATTTGTCGTTTGTAAGTTTTGTTATCTTAAAACCATTTATTCAACTTCAAATTTAATGTAGTGACAGCTTTTGTCCCAATCTCCCAGCATCATTGATTATCTAGGGTAGATTATCTCCATGCTTTTATCATGCATTGGACCCATTCGCCTCATTTCGGAAGTGAAAAAGTGATCTCCAGTTCTCGTATCAATAACTTAGAATGGATTTCTCTCATCCATGAGCTTGAAATCAACAACCAATTAAACCCTAAATATGTTCTATAAAAAGAAGACATGTTACCAAAAAACCTTTAGTTGGAGTGAGTGTTGTGATGGGTGAGGGAAGACATTATGCTGTGAGATGTTCCCAGTTGTATTTGAGATAAACTGAACAAGGCATGTCATGTACTGGTGATATCACTGTTTGTTCTGATTATGAAAGAACTACAGTACGTAATTTGACTGGACGTCAAGTTTTAGCGTTGTGTCATTTAAACTGGTGTCAATATTATGATTGTTTGTTTGTTGTTTAACGTCGCACTCAGCAATATTCCAGTCATGATGGTGGTCTGTAAATAATCAAGTCTGGACCAGACAATCCAGTGATTAACATCATGAGCATCAATCTATGCTATTGGGGTATGTCAGCAGGCCTGACCAGCTGTTAGTTCACAAGCATGGGTTACAGAAGCCCAATTCTAACCTGGTTTTAAAAGGGGAGGGGTGTGTGTGTGTTTGTTTCAATATGAATCTATGGTGGTGAATGGGTCGAGGGGAACCATCAAATTATAAAAAGGAGATATAATACACTGGATAGATGAGAAGCTACACAATCATAAGAATATTGTCAGTGAGGTGAATAATGAAGAAAAGGAAAAGTTGGTCTTTATTAACCAAATTTGAACTTTTTTCATTTGTTAACATAGTAGATATGGGTACGAAGATGGACTTTGTTCCACAGTCTGGTCTTGACTTAATTAACAAAAGGTCACCTTGGTATAGCTGGAATGTTGCTGACTTAGGCATATGCATAACATTCACTCACTCATTCACTGGGAAATGTTTGTAATGTCTTCTTTTATTTTTCAGGTGAAAATGAAATCCATGTTTGCGATTGGTTTTGCATTTACTGCCCTTCTCAGTATGTTCAATTCAATGTAAGTTGATGTTTGCTCTTTGAAGATGTTGAAACAATTAGAAGATTTGGTACTTGGATTTCTTCACACATGAATTCCATCATTTATTTACTTTTGAGACCGCCTCCGTGGGCTAGTGGTAGAGCGTCTGTCCGGAGAGCAGAAACTCCGGGGTTCGATCCTCGGCCGCGTCATACCAACAGACGTTCAAAGATGGTACTTTTTGTTACCCTGTCTGGAGCTAGGCATAAAGGGGCTAAAACAAGGACTGGTCGGCTTGAAGTCAGTATGTTGTGTCTTAGTGGGGTATTCATGTTCAACTGCGGCATGGTATCTCAGTGAGCTAGCACTATAAATCAACATCAATCCGGACTAGTACTAGCAGCCACACACACACACATGCATGCACGTCGCTATATAAGTGCAATAATCTTCGATGCAACGTTAAACCCCATTGACCTCACCTCACCTCTAAGTTTTGAACATTTTATAGAATAAAATATCATTGGTAACAATGTATTTAATTGCGGAAAGTCTGCAAATGTTTGTTTCACTTGTATCAAAGTCAAATCATTTGAAAATGAACACAATATGGGCCCCATATGTGGAATTAATAAATAATATATGTAATCACTCGTAATAAGAACAATATAATATATTAAACAATGATGCTATGAACTGTTAATTTCCCTCGTATCTCAAGATGATGCTATCGTAGATGAAATAATCAGTTTAGATATCATTTGTTTGTTTATATTTTTGTTTCTTCCTTTCAGATTTGATGGTCGGGTTGTAGCCAAGCTGCCGTTTATGCCCATCTCACTGATGCAAGGGATCTCACATCGGAACTTGCCAGGAGAAGATTATTTTGACTGTTCCTTCATCTTCCTGTACATCCTCTGTACCATGTCCATCAGACAGGTGTGTTGCTATGGTGATACACTGTTCATTCGTTGCCATTGTGACCAAGTGTTATTTGGCTCAAATGGTGATAACATGTCATTTTGTGCCTAAATTCACGGTAGAGTTGCTTCCTTAGTGACAAGCTCCTCACAGTGATAGCCCATTCGCGGAGCTCTTCATACTATTGCTGCCACCAGTCACAGCTCCCCAGGAGGCACGGATGGCCCACTCGTCTAAGACGCCGTGATTCGCTATGGAGAGTTGCGTCCCTTGGGCACGCCAGAAACCTATGACTGTGGGTGTGAATCCTGATTTGCCCAATTATATTTCTAAGTTTGTCAGCACCATGCCCGTGCTCGTGGGTTTCACCGAAGTGGTAAACGTCCGAGACCTGCATCACTACAGGCTTTCCTCCCATATTAAGCTGACAAGATATAACTGGAATACTGTTACAAGCGGCGTTAGACCCAACTCACTCCCCACTAGGTGGCCTGCAACCATGTATGGAGTTAAACTCACAACTTTTCACTATAATTGCATTCACAAAAGACATACACAAAAACAGAAAGGTTTTTTGGTTAGATGGAAATTGTTCAAGATTCTTGTAATGGCCGCTTGCACACTGGTAGCAGCAATGATACCAGGGGGATGACAAAGGTGTCATGCGCTAGGAAGGAGCTTGCCAAAGTAAGTTCTACAAAGTGTCAAATGTCTATTACCTGCAACAGCTTAGGATGTCCTGCCACATTCACCATGTTATACTGTTTATACTCACTCCCCTCATGTTTCAGAACATTCAGAAAATGCTTGGTCTTGCTCCGTCCCGGGCCGCCAGCAAACAGGGCACCGGCTTCTTCACCCCACCAAGCCAGCTCACAAAATAATGTCCACGCCAAATATACTACACCATTGAGCATAGTGTCTTCACTACCGGGATGCAAGTTATCATGATGAATAAAGGCTGAGTAATGATGACCGGCCACAGAGAATAGGAGGGAAGAAGAGTTGCTGTTGAGAGCTTTGTCCCATTATTTCATCTGATCATATAATAAAATAATTGATATAATAAAATGCTCATTGGACATCTAAAAGTAATATGGTTAAGTCTTTTATTTTTTCACTTTTTTTGTTTTTATTCATACAACCTTCAATGAAATATTGTATTATATGTAGATTGTACTGTATGGTATCCTACAATGGGACAGTAAATAGACAGAACGCCTACCTCAATTGTTGAGATAGTACCTATCTTATCCCTTCAGGCGTGGGGTATTCCTTGTATCATATTTTCATAATTCTATCACTTCAATGTTGTGTCCATGTCTATGAAATAATTGTTTACGGATATACCTATTCAGAAATAAACATTTTATATATAATCCTGTTAGTGTTGTTCTGTAGAGAGGAAGATCTGCATTGAGTATTTGGGTTTTTTTCTTGGGAGACCTTATGAGGTGTGACCATCTTGTTGTGTAGTGGCTGGAGTGTCTAACTGGAATGCAGGTCGTCGGGGTTCGATCCCCTGGTTACATCATGGACAAATCAGTTTGAACTTGTTACCTTTCCTGGAGCTCGACATTAAGGTCATTGTACCCAATTGCTCAGATTGATGCTCATGATATCAACCACTGGATTGTCCCGTCCAGATTTCATATACTCTTCAAAAAAAGAAACTTGACACTGACTTTCAAAATGTAATATAATGCGATTGTTTCAAACTAGGACACAGAAACCACAATTGAAACACTGTTTGAAAATCAATGTACACAATGTTCTAAACATTAATCGTGTCACCTAGACAGACACACGTACAAGATACAGATAATGTCACCGGGGTACAGAAAATGTCAGTATCGGTTGTGCCCACCACGTGCATCAATCATTGCTTGACACCGACAACCCATAGATGCAATCAAGTTGTCAATAACACGCTGTTGGATGTGCTGCCATTCATGCTGAAGTGCATCAAGAAGCGCCGGAAGTGTTTGGGGCAGTGGATTCGCTCTGCGAACGCGTCTATCCAAATCGTCCCACAGATGCTCAATCGGGGACAAATCTGGTGACCGGGCTGACCAAGGTAATGTCTGGATGTTGTTGTGCTGTAAGAAGTCCTGACAAACATGTGCAATATGCGGTCGAGCGTTGTCCTGCTGGAACTGTCCGCCGTAAGGCTGTAGGATCAAGTCTCTGTAACGCACACCTGTCAATGCACCTGCCACATGCACGAGAGGCGTCCTACCACTGTGATGAATTCCGGCCCATACCATGACACTCCCGCTGCCAAATGGGACAACCTGCTGCACACAGTTGGGGGCGTATCGTTCACCCCGACGTCTGTAGACACGTGCGCGCCCATCAGCACGTGTGAGTAGGAAACGGGACTCGTCAGTAAACAGTACATTTCTCCACCTTGCACGTGCCCATCTTTCCCTTTGTTTGCACCAAAGCAGACGGTCCACCAGATGACGTGGTGTCAATACATGAAGTCGAACAGGTGCAAAAAGTCCAGTCTCCCTCAGTCTGTTGCGTATCGTTTGATCTGTGTGGTTGTAGACGTGGCTGTGGTAGTGCGGTCTCGGAGGTGTCGCAGCCGGATGTATCGATCTTGAGCTTGGGTTGTCATCCTTGGTCTGTCGTCAACTCTGTTGGTGTTGTTGTGTCGTGTCCACAGTGCGGAGATTGTCTGTCTGGATACGCCAAAGTGCCTGGCCACTTCTTGCTGAGTTGCTCCAGCTTGTAATCTCCCAATGGCGTTGTTCCGTTGAGCTGCATTCAGTCTTGGCATTCTGACACCTCCTCTACTGCCGTTATAAGGACTGTATGAACAGCCATTGATGTGGATTTTTATACCCATTCAGCAGGGGGGCCTGCATGCCTAAATGCAGGATCCTGTGCTGCACGTTTTTTACAGGCGGTTGCGTTTGGATGAAGCTGTAAAATTAATCCCCAAACTCTACGTTTATGTGCTTTGCATGTGTTTTCACGAATTATAGACACATTATCTTTCTGTTTGACTTATTTGGTTCTCATTTAATGTAATTATTTTAGATATATGGCAAAAAGTGGTTTTACATCTATGTCAAGTTTCTTTTTTTTAAGAGTATATTTACCGACTTCTGTCATATAACAGGAATATTGAAGAGTGCGATGTTTAAGAATTATTTTTTGCTCTACCCCCATATATAGTGTAAAAAGTATAGCTTTGCCCTGGACTACATGTATTATAGTTAAAGCACAAGTACACAACATAACACCTCTTAAATGAGTTGTTTATTACTTACAAAGGCCACATTTCATTAGCCGTTATGTGTGTGGTTATCCATTAACTCATGCAACAAAAAGACCTTTTAAATTTAAAGTTTTTATATTAATCTGCTTCAATTTTATCATGTGACTCGAAACATTTCACAAGAGCATTGTGTGACTGAGCCAACATGTAAACATTGCCTAAGTTCAGCGTTGTCCTTTGTAACTTGCAACTAGTTTCTGCCACTAATGTTAGCAGACTGCAGCTACTGCAAGCCATGAAAGAGTGTTTACTGAGCTGGTTGCTCTACATGATACCATAACCCTTAAACCGATGTGATTTGACGGACTGAGCCGTAATATGGTGTGGCCATTGGACGAACATGGCAGAGGAAGAGCAACTATGGCCGTTTTGTGTTTGACTGCTGCATATTGTTACTTAAATGCTGTACGCTGAGCAACCGGTGTACATGTGGTTATGAAACTTTCAAGGATTGCTCATTCCTTTCTCCTGAGAGACATACATAATTCGTAGGGCATGAACAATACGGACAATATTGTAGTGAGTGAGTGAGTTTGATTTTACGCCGCTTTTAGCAATATTCCAGCAATATCGCGACCGGGGGACACCAGAAATGGGCTTCACACATTGTACCCATGACAATTTTGTAACTGCTGGGGCATGGACAGAATGGTTTGAGAGATGGTAGATATAATCTTGCCATATTTATTCCCAAGTTTTGTTTGTTTGTTTGTTGTTTAACGCCGCACTCAGCATAATTCCAGCTATATGACGGCGGTCTGTAAAATAATCGAGTCTGGACCAGACAATACAGTGATTGACACCATGAGCATCGATCCACGCAATTGGGATCGATGACATGTATCAACCAAGTCAGCGAGCCTGACACCCAATCCCGTTAGTCGCCTTTCATGACAAGCATAGCAGCATTTTACGGCAAGTATTCTACCCTGGAATCTTCACGGGTCTTATTCCCAAGTAATAATATTCAAATATAAGTTTATAGAAGCTCATTCACTGCATGTGGATGCGCCATCTTGCTTGACAGTAACATGAGAACGATGTTACCACGGATACATTAGATCACAGTGAGCAAATTTTAACATAATGACGCAACTCAGAAGTGTACTTTATTGCCTCTGATCTTTTAGCGATTATGTTATAATGACAAGTTAACATCTACATCATGGCAGCTTCTATGTACAGTATGGCCAGATGAGTAAGAGTTGAGTTTGGTTTTAATGCATGTTTTGAACAGCCTTTGGGGCATATTATGACCTGTCACCTTGGTGGAGGAGGAAAGTCACTTTTGGACATTTATCACTTTTGGTGAAACCTGGGAGCATTGATATGAGGCTGAAAAAACAAGCCACAAATGATATCAATATTCCATAATTTAGGCTCATGCACTCAAACCTCTTGTCTATAAATGTGGGATTTAAGCCTGCCATCACTGATTTCCAACATACCTAAGAGATGCAACTTTTCACCGCCAAATTTCACACGCAGGAACAACAAGGCAAACAGCAAATTTACAAGTACTTTTTTTTAATTTCCCCAGGAACATACAGGCATATTGGACAGTCTTAACGGTTGGACTTGGCTACACGTTCCAGTTCATCCTTCTTCTTGATGGCATGGGAGTTGGAGGACCCCTGAAACACACACAAAGTAGAGTTGAGGAAGTGCTGATGAACCCTTATGTACATTGACACAAAATGTAGAAACATGTAATATACAGTTTACAGTTACCATGGTGTTGGTCTTCACAATATTGCAATTATTGGAACTAATTTACACCCTGGCAGTTTATATTGTTTACACTTGCTAAGAGTTTAGTTATGTGGATAAAGTTTTCTGTTAAAAAGGTTCCATTTCATTTCTAAGAAGTACATAATCTGAAGAAATCAAGAGTTTGTTTTACCAAGTACTCTCTTACTGAAACATATGCAACAAAAAGTCAACTGGTCACAATTTCCTTTAAACATACCATCTGTAGCACATTTAACAGGACATGTACACCATGTTAAATCATAACCACCTATTGCACAAAAAACTTTAGCAATGTTTATCATCCCCAAAAATTACACGAGATATCTTAGAAAGAATAAACTTAGAAAGAAGTTATAGCAGCACTGTATTCTAAGGGCAGGAACGTGAAGAAAGCATTCAAACTTTCTAAATCATTTACCAGACAGAACCATAACAGAAAAATATTTACCTTAGCTGCATTGATGAGCTCATCGGCCAGACACTCGGCAATGGTCTTGATGTTCCTGAAGGCAGCATCCCGGGATCCGGTACAGAGCAGCCAGATGGCCTGGTTGACGCGACGCAGTGGGGACACATCAACGGCCTGTCTCCTCACGGTACCAGCACGTCCAATACGTGTGGAGTCCTCCCTTGGGCCACTGTTGATGATGGCGTTCACCAACACCTGCAGGGGGTTCTGATGGCAGAAACGAATCCTTTAGTAAAGATTTTCATGTTGGCAATTATCTTTTTCACAAAACAAGTCATGTATTTCACGGTAAAAATAATTGCATAATGAACTTGGAAAGATCTGTAGTTTTGTTTGTTGTTTAATGACGCACTCAGCAATATTACAGCTGTATGACAGCGGTCTGTACACAATCAAGTCTTGACCGGATAACAGTGATTGAGTGAGTGAGTTGGGTTTAACACCGCTTTTAACAGTATTCCAGTGATATCACAGCGTGTCAGCTTAATGTGGGAGGAAAGCCCGAAGTGATGCAGGTCTCAGACATTCACCACTTAGGTGAAACCCACAAGCACGGGTATGGTGCTGACAAACCTAGAAACCATTAACGGGGTGAACCGGGATTCGAACCCACAGTCATAGGTTTCTGGCATGCCCAAGGGACGCAACTCTGCACAGTGAATCGCGGCGCCTTGGATGAAGGAACACTCATGCACCCCCAAACAGTGATTGAAATCATGAGCATCGATCAACGTAATTGGGATATGATGACATGCATCAGCCAAGTCAGCGAGCCTGACCACCTGATCCCATTAGTCGCCTCGTATGACAAGCATAGTCGCTTTTTATGGCAAGCATGGGTTGCCGAAGCCCTATTCTACCATGGATCT